GAAGGGCGTTGAGTACCTGAAGAAGATGGAATATCTAAGCAGGTCACCTGACCTAAACCCCTCAATTACCGGTTCGGGCGGAGCTCAACAGGGTGGTCTACAGTGGCGGAGAAATCAACGATCTCGCTGAACTCAGGTACCCACTCACGGTCGCGTGGCAGAATCTCTCGATGGCGCTCCTCCAGAAGGCTGTGGCGGAGTATCATGATAGTATTTAATATGCTCTTTAATATGGTGGTAGAAATGTCCAGAATTTGATAAAGTGTAACTTATAGCGCCTCGAAAGTCAAGGAAGAAAAGTGACTTTTTTTTGCCCCCCCCCCCCCCTGTATAATTACTAACCGTCATGACGTGTCCCGTTGGCAAGGATAAGCTGGGCTGGGCAGAGTGTTGAAGGCAGTTGGCACGATAAATCCCTAACACGAGTAGAAGTAGTAGGATGGAATTTCGCTTGGCAGGATGGAATTCCGCGACCCTGAGCAGGAGCTGCGTAGCGCCTTTTTCAGGAAAGCTACCCTTACATGGCCCTATCAAGCTACAACATACCGACCCGAACGCCCACCACGCCCGCCCGCCCACAAATGGACTGATGCTCGTATTGCTTCATTTGCTAAGTAAAATATGAAGCGAAGGGATTGGTATGAAGCGGCCGCGGTGCTGCATGGATATATGAGTACATACATGCAGCCGTACCTACCGTAGCGGTTATTGGCAAGATGCCTACGGGAAACTCGTCCGAAATTGCTTTTTGAGTCATTGAGAGCGAAGGTTTTCTTCGCAGGTTTTCGACCTTCGCTCCTTTTTTCGCGCCTTTTTTCCCCACTATATAAGGCCTCTGCTAAAATTGTAGGGCGAATTGCAAATTGTCGTTTCAACCGCCTTTAAGGAAAAGAGACGGGAAATCAGTGAAGGGAAGAAGGGGGGACTTATGGTGGAATGCTGACTGGTCTGAATGATGGGCTAAATGATAAAAATGACGAAATTTTCTTCCATTGAGGCGGTGAAGGAGCGATTTTGACGAGGGTCACCCCTCTTTTTCTTTAATTAAGAGAACTGAGAGCCTTGCATATAGCACTATAATAAATGAGTGAATAAAATTACCGTATTCTGGCGAGCATAGCTCCACCCAAAGCCGCAGAATCTGGAACATTCAATATGTAGGTGTCCATGGCGAAGACATCAGAGAGAATCCTCTGCAAATCGGGATTAGCTGACGCACCACCTGTGAGGAAAAGGCGGCCTGAAATAGATTGCTGATGTGATGGGGCTAGAACTTCACGTGCATGAAAAATGGTAGCCGTAAGCAAACATATTCTGAGCCCTTCACCTTTTCCCGTAGTACATCCCATAGTTTTGGCGTACATTAACTTCAACAGCGATTGACCTTCGAGTAACGCTCGTGCTTCAGTCTGAAGTGGATGACTTTTGGAGATGTGATTAATGTGGGGCATGTAAGAGCGATTAAGGATTCCATGCGACGCCAGGCATATTTAACACCAGCGACTATGTTTTGAGTGACTATGCACGTGCACATTCACACTGCCGCTTTGGCCCGCTAATGCAACCGTTCGTTCAGTTACTAACTGTGAGCTAACTTAGCGTACGTGGTCGCTAGTGGGTAAGCTTCAGGCTACATTGTATCCGAGCGCTAAACCGCTGAATTGGGAACTCTCGGCTTTGCTTCTGTGGTCTCCCCCCAACCAAGCTCCAGGCTTACGGGCCGCAGACGGACCGGAGTCCCGAGGACAGACGGAGCAGCCTTACTGAAATACAAAACCTTGATTAGGAAAATCGCCACTGAAACGTTGTTCCCTCCTCCCCTCCCCCTCCTTCCTAGAAACACGTGAGCACCCACGACAGGATTCTACTGAGGCGAAATGGCTGGAGACTCTGCCCATTTGGGATAATCTGTAAAACACTTACAATTAGTGAGAGCCCTTGCAGGCCCGCAGGTCGAATATTCGACATAAATATCGAATATTTGACATAAATACTTATTCTCACATAGATAGGCATTCAAATGCTCTGCGACTTCGATCTCAAAAGTCATATGCTTGGCGCGATCCACATAAGTAACCATTTTTGCTGCTGGTTGCTCGTTTTTCTTATTATTATCTCATTCGTAATGACAATCTATTACCTCCGGTGCAAATTCCTCGACTAGGTGATAGCTATCGCCATCCTTCTGGTACCTGAAGTCGCCCTTTCCTTACTCTGGGAGCGATTTCGTTCCTCATCGAAGTATAGACCTAAACCTATTTACCTTTAATTGAACTCTTCCGAAGCTAACGATAAATTAATTTTGAATTCATTGACTCATTTATCGAAATTGCTAAGTTAGCGTACAAGGGGGAAGCTAGTCAAAGGCACAATTCCGCGATAAAATAAGGCTATGGACCCTCTCAAATGTGTTGACGCATCCGGAATGCGATTCTGAGCTCCGCTTACTTTGAAAAGTAGAAAGACGGCAAGACTTCGCTAGAGGCTTGAACTAAATAGGCCCGTGGACACCCCTTAGGCCCATGCCGACCCTCACCGGCTGCTAGCTACTAGCTAGTAGCCACTATGTTATCTTTCTCTATAACATTTCGGACTGCTTTTTCTGCTGCTTTTCTCCGCTAATCAGATACTTAGCACTTTTTGTGCCTATTTGAGTTCCGTTTCCCGCAATTTGCGGTCGCGAACTGTGCCTTTAAGAGCCACAAACAGCGTGATGGGTAAAAGTTTGCTGGAGGAAGTAAATAAAACTGTTCAATGCGTGATCCTAAACGTTGCGCCGTCGGACCCTTTCAATACGACAGTAGTGCAAAGTCAGCCAATCAGCTCATCTAATGACGTCATCTCTCCCTGAATCGATGCGGGTTACAGTATTTTACCTATATTCCCGTCGTTCCCAGGTGGAGTTCTTGCGAGAAGCGTTCCGAAATCGTTCCATTCACAACCAAGTCGTACGTACTCGTTCACGGCTGTCAGCGAGCATTTTAAAGCTAAAGAGCCGATAACCCGATAACCAAAAAAAAGCTTATTAGGTAATATTCTCCCAAAGTTTTTGAAGTTTTTGCTGTGAATCAACGTATAAAAAAACTTCTAAAAGGTTCACTTACCAAACAAGCGCCATGAATTCATCCTTCTTTCCTAAGAAATGACTGAAGAAATGTGCATCCACACATGGCTTATACTCGTTCGTGGTGAAGAAGACGGTATCACTGGTTCCAAGTGAAATACCCACATCATCTTCAGAAAGGTTCAAGCCGGCTAATGAAGCTGTAATAATGACCATTCACTGAGAAA